GGTTTAGGGTTCCCGGTTTGTTTAAAGGAGGGTTCCTTTTTGAAAGGGCTCCTCTTTAGAAGGGTTCGTTCAGTTCATGGTGAAGGGGTTCCTTTTCGGGGTTCTATAAGGGAGGCAAGGCCTGATATGGTTTAGTGTTTGGGGGGTTTGGGGCTCAGGGTGAAGGCCCATACCTTAAATAATTGGAGTAGAATTTGGGGGGTGTATGATACAGTAAAATGATATTAGGGAACCCAAAGGAGCCCTGTTCAAATTAGTCAAGGGTATTAGACGGTTTTATTCAAACGGGTTGTAGCAGGAGTTTCTTAACTCGGCCTCGCAGTAGTACTTGTTATGCCCTGTTTATTTTGGGTTTTGCCTTGCAGAAGTGAAGAAGCCTAAGCCCAAAGCCCTAAGCCCTAAACCCTAAACCCTAAACCCTAAACTGAACCCTAAACCCTAAGCCCTAAACTGAACCCTAAACCCTAAACCCTAAACTGAACCCTAAACCTTAAACCCTAAACTGAACCCTAAACCCTAACCCTAAACGGAACCCTAAACCCTAAAACCTAAACCCCAAACCCTAAACCCTAAACCCTAAACTCTAAACCCTAAACCCTAAACTCTAAAACGTAAACCCTAAACCCTAAACCGAATAACGGTGGAAAAACAGTAGCCTTGCTGTTATCGGAGTGTCGCGAATCAGGTTTGTTGGGGTTATGGGGCTTCAGGGTTGGGGTTCAGGGTTTAGGGTTTAGGGTTTTGGGTTCAGGGTTTAGGGTTTAGGGTTCAGGGTTTAGGGTTTAGGGTTTAGAGTTTAGGGTTTAGGGTTCCTTTCGGGGGAGCCCTGGTGGGCCTCTAGGGCCTGGTAAAGGGTGGTGTGGTGTGTGTGTGTGTGTGTGTGGGGTTGGCATTTCTGGCATTTTGGGTGTGCTCAGCTTTGGGGGGGCTTGAAGTTGAAGATTGAAGATGTCCTGCCTTTTCGGAGTCCTAAACCTTATAAACCCGAAAAGCCCGAGAATCTCATGTTGATCCGAGGCTCTACAAGCCCCAAACCCTGCAAGCCCCACACTTTGGAATTTAGAGACTTAGTAAGTAGAGGGCAGAGTTCAGACCAAAATACCTTAGAGATTCTAGAGGGATCCTAGGTATGATTTAAGGTATAGCATAGTCCTTACTTGAAGGAGTGTTGGGGGCCTGAGGGCTCAGCAATCGCTAAATCAACGTTCCAGCCAGCTTCGAGGATCCTAGCCTAATTTCCTAAACCCTAACCCTAAACCTTAAACCCTAAATTCCTGACGTAAGGGCTGTTGGAGTCTTTGGCACCCGTAAGCCTCACGACACCCTATGCCCTGATGCCTAAATCCCATTCTGAATATATCTCATAACGGCACAGAGAACGAAACGCTGTGACTGCAAACCCTCTAACCTCCCTCTATTGGGAAGCCTATGCATACATATCTCCTTCTAGAATCTGCAAGAGCACCACGGTGTCCAGAGACGCCGAGACCCCTTCATTAAGCAATCTACCTTAAATCATACTATGGATGTAGAGTTTAAGGCATCTAGTCCTTCATCAGAGATCCTCCCAAACATCCTACAAACCCCTATAGAAAATCTATAAAGTACTATGGTCCCGAATTAATAATGTCGCAAGCATCCTACAAACCTTTATAAAACCCCTTTCTAACTCCATAGAAGCCCTTTGAAGCCCACTAGAACTCCATGAAAAGACCTTAATCCCTAAACCCTTAACCCTAATCCCTAATCCCTAATCCCTAAACCCTAAACCCTGAACCCTTAAACCCTAATCCCTAAACCCTTAAGGACCCTAAACCCTTAAAGACCCTAAACCCTAAAACCCTTAAACCCGAACCCCAAACCCTAAACCCTATAACTACCGGACTTCGGAGTCTCTCAGCGCTGGGAGGTGGCACTGGTGCGGTTCGGACCGCGAGAGGCCAAGGTCATCGCGCAGACTTCATCTGCTCTGGAGGCACTTTAGGGGTTAGGGCCTTTAGGATTTTGGGTTTAGGGTTTAGGGCCTTTAGGGTTTCAGGGCCTTTAGGGTTTAGGCACTTTAGAGTTTAGGGCCTTTAGGGTTTAGGGTTTGGGGTTTAGGACCTGTAGGGTTTACGGTTTAGGGTTTAGGGCCTTTAGGGCCTTTAGGGTTTAGGGCCTTTAGGGTTTAGGGCCTTTAGGGTTTAGGGCCTTTAGGATTTAGGGTTTAGGTTTTAGGGCCTTTAGGGTTTAGGGCCTTTAGGGTTTAGGGCCTTTAGGGTTTAGGGCCTTTAGGATTTAGGGCCGTTAGGGTTTAGGGCCTTTAGGGTTTAGGCTTTAGGGCCTTTAGGGTTTAGGGCCTTCAGGGTTTAGGCTTTAGGGCCTTTAGGGTTTAGGGCCTTTAGGGTTTAGGGTTTCGGAGTCCGTTTAGTAGGGCCTGTAGGGTTTAGGGTTTTGGAGTCCGTTTAGTAGGGCTTTTAGGAATTAGGTTTTTGGAGTCCGTTTAGTAGGGCCTTTAGGGAGTCCGTTTAGTAGGGCCTTGAAGGTTTAGGGCTTAGGGCTGACGGCGCTTTCAGTCCAGAATCGGATTTTATCGGGTTTAGGCTTTGTCGGCACTGTTGGTCGACAGTAGGGCTGTAGGGGGCCTTATAGGGGTGAGGGTGTTGAGGCTGTTTGAGGGTTTAGGGCTCAATGATTCACTGACACTTTCGCCATTAAGGGCTTGAAGATTCGGATCCCTACTTTATTCCGCGTAAAGGGGAGTGGCTTCAGTAGTTAGGGGTCTACATAAATTAACGGTCCAACCATATACAGTGGCGGCTTTACTGATTGGAGTATAGGTTCTGGGGCACGTGGGCACGTGAGTCGTGAATACCCTAAACCCTAAACACTAAACCCTAAACCCTAAACCCTAAACCCTAAACCCTAAACCCTAAACCCTAAACATCATTCTGGGGGCCTGTCTTGCCCGAAAACGATACAATTAGGAATGGGAAACCAGACAGAACCCTGCACCTCTGAATAAGCCTCCGTAGCACCCTTCTAGAAACCCGATGCCTAACTCCCTACAAACTTCTGTAGTTCTTGAATCACAGTCTTTGAAAACCTTGCAGATCCTGAAAAGCTTATGTACATGTTTCAGAATCCAAAACCCTAAACCCTGAAGCCCTAAACCCTAAACCCCTTAACCCTAAACCCTGAACCTTAAACCGCCAAATTTCTAAACCCTAAACCCTAAATCCTAAACCGCCTAAACCCTAAACCCTAAACCGCCGAAACCCTAAACCCATAGACATCCCCTGCCAGGTGTGGCTGCAAAGGGCTGCCCCCGAGGCCCCTGCCGAGCCGATGTTCGAGCCCAGCGCCCTGGGCCGCAGTAACTTTTTGTAGGTTTAGGGTTTAGGGTTTAGGGGTTTAGGGTTTAGGGGTTTAGGGTTTAGGGGTTTAGGGTTTAGGGTTTAGGGGTTTAGGGATTGTAAGGTACGGGATTTAAGGTTTGAGGCTTCAGGTTTTAGATTGAGGGTTTAGGAATTTTAGGGAGCAGGATTTAGGGTTTAAGGCTTCAGGTTCAAGACTGAGGGTCTAGGGCTGTCTTGTTTCTTGTTTTCTGGTTTGATTGGTGCTTTCCTTTTTGCTGATGTGTTTTTCTTCTTCTTCTTCAGGCTTGCACTTGCAGCCCTGCAGCTGAGTGATCACGCTCTGCCTCAAAAGCCCAAACAACCCAAATCTGAGACCCTAAACCCTAAACTGGAAAGCCTAAACCCTAAACCTTGAACCCTAAAACCCTAAACCTTAAACCCTAAACCCTATAATCCCTGAACTGTAATCCGACGAAAGCCTAAACCCCCAAACTCCAAACCCCAAGCCTAAACCTCCAAGTAGGGGCCTGAATAATTAGAATAGGGTTTTGGGGTCCCGTATACGATATTTATAATAAGGAGCCACCAAAACAGTATAGGTTCCCTAGTATAATTATAGTATACCGGGCCCCAAAACCCCATTCTAATTATCTAGGCCCCTACTTTTTAAGCGCCCCGTAGATCTCTGAAGCCTGAGGCGTGTGGATGTCGACGAAGGGTTTCGCAGCCGTTGTGCCTGGAGCAGTCTTGGAGTCCCGCTTCGAGGCCGGGTTTAGAGTTTAGGGTTTAGGATTTAGGGTGTAGGGGGTGGTTGACTTAGCCGAGAACCCCAAAACCCTAAACCCTCTAATTCAACCCTAAAACCCCTTAGAAGCCTTCAAACCCTTAAGCCTAAACCCCGGAGCCCTGTCCTGAACTCGTTGAGAACTCTTAGGAGCCCCTTCTGCTTGAACCCTCTACCCTGAACCCTGAACACAGAAGTCCGAAGGTTGCCAAAATACCCTTCAAATTCTTATTTTATTTATACTATATAGTATTTATAAAACTTATACTATGTAGAGTCTTATTTTGTTTATACTATGTAGTGTTTATAAGGCTTGTACTATGTAGGGTTTAGGAGGCTTTAGGGTTTAGGGGTTACTATATACTCTCCTCCAAAACCTATTCTACAGTTAACGCGGCTCCGACATGGTAGAACCTTCGAAAACAACACCTAAACCCAAAACCCTAACCCTAGTTGTTTATCACCCAGAAGTGTCGTGTCGTCAGAGCAGGTCACCTCGGTGGGACCTCTCCGGGCATCCAAAGCAGGAGGCCGATCGCTTTGCTAGGGTTTCTACTTGGAGGTTCATGGGTAGTTATCAGTAGGCTTCCATGTTCCAACTTTCCGGGGTTCGCAAGAGGTTGTGCTGGATTGTGCAGGGTTTCATTTGGGTTGTCAAAGGTTCGAAAAGGATTTAGGAGGCCGCTTGGTCGGGCACAATAGCTATGGGGCGTTATAGAGATTTTTCGTTGGTGTTTCGTAGGGTGTATTTGTGGGTGCGATTTTGAGCCTTCCTTGCAAAGGCTTTTGAACATGCCCTTAACCAATCTTCTGAGCCAAGGAGTCGTGCTGTCCATTGCCGGAGCGGGGTTTCACCCCGAGTCTGGGAAGCATCTCATTTCGCTCTCGCCAGCTGATGGTGCCCATGCGTTGGAATGTTTGGTGACCCTTGGCTGCTGTTTGAAGACCTTTGAGGGTTTAGTCTTTTGGGTGTTAGTAACATTAAGTAACTGTGGCTAAGCAAAAAACCAGTCCTGATACCAGCAAAGCGAGAAAGCCGCAGCTACATCACATGTGGCGACCGTGATGGCCAACGAAGAACGACGACCAGCCCTGACTCTAAACCTTAAGGGACACATCGCAACTTGATGTGCCTTCTGTAGAGCTGACGAACAAGTACCACTAAGAGTCTTAGACAAGTTGATGCTACCCTCCCAAATCTCTGGTACAACGCTCTAGGACTCTCTAAGCACCAAAGAAAGCCCGCGTAACATCCTTCTGGAATCCTTCTAAAGAGAACCCAAACCCTAAACCCTACGATTAGGCCCTTAAGCCTAAGCTTAAAGCCTAAACCCCTAAACCCTAAACCCTATAAACCCTAAACCCCAAGTAGGCTGGCTGCCTTATTCAAGAAAGCCAGGATTGCCGGCAACTCGACGAACCTGGACTGCCGACTGCAGGGCTCTGCTGCAAAGATCGTGGCCCAGCAGTTGCCAACGGAGGACTGGCTTTGGTTCTCACCAAAGTGATAAAGATACACACATATGTACATACACATATATGTACATATATATGTATATTATTTATATGTATATTTATTTATTTATCTATACAAGAGCGATTAGGGCTTCAGGCTTGACGGTTTAGGACTTTGGGAAGGGGTTGAGGGTTTGGGGATCCAGGATTGGTTTAGGGGTTACCTAAACTTAAACTAAGGCTTTAGTCCCAGCCCTAAAGAAGGAGCCTAAGCTCAAATTAACCCCAGACCTTGAACCGGAAACCCGAAGCCAATCAATCCTGCCACCGAAATCTAGGACCAAAAACTTGCTCTGGACCCTAACCCTATAGACCCTCAGCAAAACTGTCTGGTGCTTAGTAGGGAATGGGGGAATGGGGTATAGGGACTACTATAAGGGACCTTAAGGCACTGTCATAGGGATCCATTCCCCATTCCCTACTAAGCACCAGACAGAAAAAGGAGAACAGCGTGGGGACCATGAGGCGCTTGTCGGCGAAGCGACAAGCTCCGAGCCGGCCCCTGCAGTGCCAAGCGGGCGCCGACGATCGATCCAAGGCCCTGAAACCGGAATAATGTAGCCCCGTTTAGGGTTTAGGATTTAGGGTTCAGGGTTTAGGGGTTTAGGGGTTTAGGGTTTAGGGTTTAGGGTCTTGGAGGTTCATGGGTAGCGGCCCCTTTAAGGGATCTATAAGAGGGCTCTATAAGGGATCCTATAAGGGGTCTGTAAGGGGTCATATTTGGAGGTTCATGGGTAGTTATAAGTAGGGTTATAAGTAGGGTATCTATAGTTATAACCTATATCAGGGGGCTTATGACTCCACTTATAACTACCCATGAACCTCCAAGTAAACCCTAAACCCGAAACACTAAATCCGAAACCCCTGAGGCCCTTAACGGGCAGGTGGAAAAGAGGTAGCAAAAGCAAGAACCTTTAAGACCCTAAGGTTTAGGGTGTAGGCTTAGGGTTCGAGTGTTTACAAAACTAGAACCTTGAGCTGGAATATCCCTCTAAGAAGTCCCGTCAGAACACTAGGGTTTAGGGTTTAGGGGTTTAGGGACCTACAACACCCAATCCCTTCCAAAACCCCAGCAAAACCCTACAAAGCCCTTACACAAACCATCAAGCCCTGTAACCCTATAGAGAGCCGTGCAACACCCTAAATCCTAAACCCTCGATAGCCTTGCAGCACCCTGGGCCGAAGTATACGGTAAAATGAAGGGTTTAGGATTTAGGGTTTAGGGATCGCCACTGCGGTTTGGGGATAGTATCCCCCATGACAGTGCATAGGACCCTTTGGAGAGCCAGAGGACAGCTCTTACAAAACACAAAACATCCGCAGCGCCATAGAATGTCATAACACACCCTAAGCACTAAATCCTAAGCCCCAAGCGAAGCCTTAAAGCACCCTTACAAACCCTATAGAACTCCTATAAAACCCCATAGAAAACTATAGCGCTTCAAAGCCCTAAATCCTAAACCCTAAACCCCCCTTACGAATCCCAAGCACCAGGTCCGATGCTTCGCCAAAGCGCTGGCCAATGCGGGCAGCGTGAGATCGCAGCCGTCGGAAACCGCCTCGGGGCGAGTCCCTGGGCGCTTTAAGGCCCAGGCTTCGGGCTTAAGTGTCATTGGGTTTGGGGTCATTAGTTTTAAGGTTTAGGGTTCAGGGTTTGGGTTCATTGGGTTTTCGGCTTTAGGGTTTAGGGTTGAGGGCTTAGGATCAGTGGGTTAAGGCTTTAGTTCATGAAGGGGTTATATAGGGTTCGGAACCCCATTAAGGGTCATTGGGTTTAGGGTTTAGGGGCATTGGGTTTGGGGGCATTGGGTTTAGGGTTTAGGGTTTAGGGTAATGGGGTTTAGGCTTCAATTAATGAAGGGGTTATGTAGGGCTCAGAGGCTTCAATCAAGCGATTTAGGGTGTAGGGTTTTACTGAAGGCTTTAGGGTTCAGTGATAGGGTTCAGGATTTAAGCCTGGGCTTTCATAGGGGGCTGTATTGCGTGTGTTTGCAAGTGTTTCTGTTTTGAGGCTGTTAGAAGGATGTAAAAAGTGTAAGTACAGGTTCCACTGTGTCTTAGTCATACACTTCGGCCGCCCTTACATGTTTAGTCACACTACAGCATGCACCAAGACTTTTTGTAAACAATGAAGCCCTTTGCACAACGGTGTAATAAACCCCTAAACCCTAAACCCTAAACAATAAATTCTGTGAGCTTGTTTCGGCGGGGCTTTCGGGCTCGGCTTCAGGGTCGGGCGGTCGTGGGGCGACAGGGGCTAAGTAAGGGTCTTTTTGGGGGGGCGCGCCGGAAGGGTTTTAGGGTTTTGGGATTGAGGTCTCGCTGTCGGGTTTAGGTAGTTTGGGATTTGGGGTTGGAGATGAACAGGGTACATTATTGAAGGTTTTCGGGATTTCATGGCTGTAGGCTCAACTTTAGTTTAGGAGATGGTGTACACGATTCAGGAATGGTTTCAGGTCTTCCGGGTGTGGGTCTTTGCGTGTGAGTCCTGCAAAGTTTTAGAGTCTAGGGTACCAGACCCTATAAACTTTAAACCCTGAACCCAAGAATACAGGCTTTTGTCTTTGCGTCGCAGGGTTTCGTTTTGTCAGGGTTGGGAGGAGGCTCGCAGGGTTCATGAGATTTAGGATGGGGTTTAGGACCCCTAAACCCTAAACCCTAAACCCGTTAGACCCTCACCCCTAAACCCTGTTTGGGGCTTAGGGTTCAGTGTATCGGCAGCTACTTGCATCCGTCAACGCATTAGTCTGCAAAGCCGTCTGTGATGTACTATAGGGGCCTCAACAAGTAACATTGTTTTTTTTTTGGAGGGGGGGTCCTTATTCGAGTTATAGTATAGTATACCCCAAAACCCTATTCATTAAGGCCGCTAAGCCCTAAGCCCTTACAGTAGCCTTTTCTGCATCCCTTCGAGGAACCCGTTAAACGAACCCCCAAAAGCCCTCTTCTTATCACGAAGGGCCCTGCATTACCTGCAGCCCTGTAGAGTCCCAAATAGGGTTTAGGGTTTAGGGTTTAGGGTTTAGGGTTTAGGGTTTAGGGTTTAGGGTTTAGGGTTTAGGGTTTAGGGTTTAGGGTGTTGCAGCAACCCCGGCAAGGGCTGGAAACCATCAACACCAAAGGATTTAGGGTTTAGGGTTCAGCATGAGCCCCGTGAATCTTGAAGCCCAAAAATTGGCCTACACCGAGAACACCCGACAGTCCCGGTATATCTGCATTGCACCAGTGCAAAGCCTTACCAAGAGGCTGCAAAGCCCTAGTATCCCAACACCCCTCGTGCCCCGAAACCCCGAAAAGCCACAACCCGAAACCCGACCTCCACCCCTTCAGCAACCCTAAACACACAAAACCCAGAAAGCAAATAACCATCAAAGCACCCTAAATCCTGAACCCTAAACCCTAAACCCTAAACCCTAAACCCTAAACCCTAAACCCTAAATCCTGAACCTTGCAGAAACCCCAAGATGCCCAAGGTCAGCGAAGCTTTGGATTTCCTCCGACGAGTGGAGGCTGCCGACCTGGCAATTGAGGCACTTTTGTTCTTGATCTTCTTTGAGGGTTTACGGCTTCAGGGTCATCAGGGCGGGTCTAGGGTTTTAGGGTTTAGGGTGTTGTTTCTTTTGGTTCTTGTAGGGTTTTACAGGGACTTGACCAGGCTTTCCGTGTAGATAGTGTCGGGGTTTGAGAAAGAGTTGTAAAGGCCTCGTAGGATTTTTGCAGACCAGGCTCCAAACCAAACCCTAAATCCTCAACCCTATTTTCAAGCGCAAATATCTGAAGAAATATTCAAAAACAACCGCTTATAGTCTCTCCATAGCCGCACTGTAATAGACCCCAAAGCCCAAGTCTAAATATGAAGGCCTAGTAGATTTTTTCACGGAACTATAAAGGCTGTCTTGGGCCCTTAAAATTAAATCCCTACACCCCAGACTGTAATGCTTGATGGCTGGATGCTTCGGACGTTTAGGGGCGTTCTCTGTCACAGGGTTCGGGGGAGGGGTTTTAGAAATTTTGGATTCATGTTTCGGCTTTTTGGTGGCTTTTGCTTGTTTTGTGGGGAGTGGCTCTAGGGTATGTGGACCTCTGGCCAGGTTTGACACGCGTGGAAACGGTGTTTGGGTGCATGTTGGAAGATTGGCGAGTCTACATTTCCGGTGCTTCTTTTGGTATTTAGGGTTTTAGGTTCCAGGTTTCAGGGGTGTGGGGCCTGGAGTGAGTAGTCTCGGGTTCAATTCTTTCGAGTTCTAGGTTTTCTGGTCTACTATAGGGGCCTGAACAATTTCCAATACTATTTCGGGGGTTCCTTATTGTAGTTATAGTATAATGGGCCCCAAAACCTCATTTGAATTATTAAGGCCCCTACATTAGGGTTTCGGGTGTAATTGCGTGTCTAATCTTCTTGGGGTTTACGGTTTTTCGCATCTTAGAGTGCATGCCCATTGGGGTCCAGGCACTAGTGCCTTAGACTTAAGCCGTGTAAAGCCTGTAACCCTGAGAGCTACACCTCGCGCCCTGAGACGCCAGTCCCAAAGACGCTGGTGCGGAATCGGAAGCTACATTCAGCTACAGCAAAGACAAAGCAAGGAACACTAAAACCATCGTATAACACCAACGTTCGAAATCTTGTTGGACTGCCATGGTTTCTTTGTTGCCTGCTTTCTCCCGATGACTCTCCAACATATCCCTTAAGACATATTCAGTATATATATATATATATATCCCTATACTTATGCTGTTTGAGAAAAACTCAGTAAGAAAGCCATGTTGAAGTCTCTGGGTCGTCAGATGGGAGACGCCGTTTTCGAGGATGCTGTGGCAATGGACGGAGGCCTGGACACATTTGGGGGTTTCCGAAAATAGGGGACCCGAACATAGTACCCTAAATAGTAGGATCCTTATTATAAGGACCCCAAAAGAAGGAACCCCTTACGTAATTTCGGAAAATCCCATTTAGCACGATCAGGGTTCAAGAGTGCTTTGGATTGAGGTCGGTTTTGGAATTCCTGTTCGGATGACCATGATGGCGGCGATGGGGATAGGGATGACGGGTATTTCAGTGGCAATCGCCCAAGAACAGCCATGCCAGGGTGCTGTGATTTTGTGATGTGGTGGTTGCATTACGAGGAAGTCACCCTAAGTGAGTCACCCTGACAAAACACTATATCCTATCTGTACCCTAAAGTCCTAAACCCTAAGGTTAAATGCCCTTAGCCCTAAACCCTTTGCTTGTCCTTCCAGGATATGGAGACCGAGGAGCGTACGAAGATGGCTATAGCAGCGACGGAGACGGATACGGGGACCAGTACGATCCTGTAGCAGATCCGGAGCACGGCATAGATGACGCTTCTAGGCGCCTTCGGGATGCTCGGGCTTCGGCGCCTAGGTGGCACCTTGGGATACTCTCTGCTTTCCCGTGTGGTTTCATAAACCCTAAACCCTAAACCCTAAACCCTAAACCCTAAACCCTAAACCCTAAACCCTATAGAGGATTCACACAAATATGAAATCGTCTTGAGGACCCGTGAGCTCCCCCAGGCTGCAATATCCCTTAATTCAGGAGTATACCCTAAATTATAGTAGGATCCCTACTAAGATTTAAGGTTTCTTCCTTAATTAAGGGATATTGGAGCCTCTGAGCTACGACCCAGGTACCGATTGAGATTCAGATTCGGCCGCGCTGGGGCGTCGAGAGCGACGCGGCGGAAGATTTCCGCTTGGCCCACATGCGCCCCATCCGGAAGAGGAGGCAGCGCCACAAGCAGTCTTTCTGTCGCCTGATATTTTCTGTGTCCCGATCTAACTCTATATTATGTTCTACTATACTGCGAGTCAGCATAATATGCTTTGGTTATATCGTGCTACAATAATTACTAAGACCCAGAGAATACTGGTGGATCCCTGTCTGGAGGTCTCGTCAGCGTGATCCCCCGGCTGCGCAGTTGCCACGAAGGCTCATGTCCGAAGAAGACGAGGAGCCTCTTCAGCCTTTGATCACGGTTCAGGGTTTAGGGTTTAGGGTTCCGTTTAGGGTTTCACACGGTGTATGAGGGTTTTTAGAAGGATTTGTCTTCAGAAGGGTCGAGCTGACGACGCAGGAGCTGAAGCATCGAGATCTTGCGAGTTTCTTCTATCAAGAGTCTGAAGCCTTGCATGCAGAGACTGCATTGTACTAGCAGGCGGAAGAAGAAGTATGATACTGCCATTTTGGATTTGCACGAACCATTGGAAGCAAAACCCTGGTAAAGAAGTTCGAGGACCCCACGAAGTGTATGAAACCCGAAATCGCGACCTGAAGAGTTTTTTTGAGCGAGCACCGAAGCGCGCTTGCAGAAAACCTTCTCCACATTACTCAAGCCCCCTACACGAACCCTGGTGGAATTTTTGCACATCCCCTTCCAGGAACTCGAGGGAAGTCTGTTCTAATAAGTAAGACCCCGCGATATATTCGACCTCTCGACGTCTCGAAGGACGCTGATCTCAACGATACGTCCAGCGACCCGAACGCCGCGGAAGAGACGGAGGATCATGGGGTCTGGGGTCGGTTTCATAGACCCATAGGCCCCCATAGTAGTTCCTTTTTGTGGCTTATATTTAGGATTCCATTCGGGAATCCCAAAAAGGAACTACTTAGTGTTCAGGGTTTAGGGTTAGTGTAAGGTTTAGGGGGTTGCTGGCTTTTAGTCGGGCCTTTGGGGTTTAATTCGCGTTGCGGGGTTTCGGGTTCGCGGGTTTAGGGCTTTAGGGTTCAGAGGTTTAGAGGTTTGGAGGTGTAGGAGTGCAGGGTTTGCTGAATTTGGCAATCCTATGCCCTAGGGTTCCCTTTTATACACATGCTTCAGTATAATTAACCACGAAGCTTTCTTCAAAGTGTTAAGACCCCTGCAATTGGTTGTTTTTAAGGCTTTAGACTGTAGGGAGTTCGGGGTTAGGTGTCTTGGGGTATTTTTGGTGGTTTACGGCTTTCAGGCTTGCGGGGGTAAGGGTTCAATCTGGCAGTCGAGACATGTGAGGGCATATGAGATAAGAAGTTCGTGCCTAGTTGGGATTTAAGGCTTTAGAGCCTTTAGGGCTTAAGTGGTTTAGTGTTGCCTTCGGGGAGGGGCTTAAGCACACAACAAACGATGCTCAGATGTGTTGCACCATAAGTGTGTCGAATCGGCTAAATTCATCGCGTGTGTCGATGATCATGTTTTCGTGATGTTAGCTATTCAGACCGTGTGGAGCCGTCACCGACGCGCCCGGAGACATTATATCATGCATATGAGAGGTAAGTATGCTAGTCCCTCACCCGGAAACCGTGAACTGTGAAAGCGCAAAATGTAACATCCGAGAGCTCGAAACCCGTAGACCGCACATTCAGGCTCGGTTCTATCACTAATCAGCTAAACACACAATGAAATATAGTTCTCAACATACAACTGGGCTTCAGGTAACGGGTTGTCATGTAGCAATTACATGTCAGCCCGAAACCTAAACCCTAAACCCTAAACCCCAAACGGAAAGCCCAAAAAAAGATAGAGAACTTAAACCTGGCCGAAGCCCCAACAACCCTATGTCGGGTTCAGGATTTTTCGTGGTTTGGGCTCAGGGTTTAGGGCCTGCATAGATTATAAGGCGCTCTGGGTTCAGTTGTTTTGTGGTTAATTAGGGTTCAGGATTTAAGGTTGCGGGTTTAGGGTTTAGGGTTGAACCCTAAACCCTAAACCCTCTAAACCCTAAGCCCTAACCCTAAGCCCTGAACCCCAAACCCGTTCAGGGTTTTGGGCTTTCGACCCCCGGGCTTTGGCAGTGCCAAACTCACAAAACAAACCACCAACCCCGGAGGCCCTGGCCCTACAGCTCTAATCAGGGGGCCTTACTGACGGTTTAGGGTTTTGGGTTTAGGGTTTAGGGTTTAGGGTTTAGGGTTTAGGGTTTAGGGTTACTAACTAGAATAGGGTTTTGGGGTATCTTATACTATAATTATTGTAAGGAACCCCACAAAAAAAAAAACAAAAGCGATGCTAATTTTTAAGGCCCCTGTATTAAACCTCCAAATCCCTAAACCCTAAAACCTAAACCCTAAACCCTATGCGGAACCCACTCAAGTAATCTAGTATCCTGAAAAGTCGCCATTGACTCCTGATGCCTCCACGAGCTCGGAGGTGGGCAGCGATGACTCAGACGAGACCGAGGACTTTGGAATGCAGGAGTTTTGAGCTTATTTGGGTGGCAATTTGGGAAACTTTAAACTTCATCTTATGCTTTCGAAGGTACCTATTCATAAATACTCTTCAGGGCAAAACTACAACCCAATTATGGAGTTTAGAGTGTGGGTTTTAGGGCCTTATGGAGTATAAGGTTTAGGGTCTAGGGCGTCTAGGGCTTGTAGAGTTTAGCATTTCGGGTTTGTGGAGTCTAGGGTTTAAGGTGACTTTGAGAACTAACCTCGAACGATGACTTACACCCGGCAGGACTTTGAAGACTCACGACGCAAAGCTTGAAGAAAACAGTTGGTTTAGGGTTTAGGGCCGTTTAGGGTCTAGGGGATTAGGTATTTGAGTCCCATGACTGCCGCACCCTTATCACACTTCTTGTAGGTCTCATAAATGAATTCCCATAGGAACTCTGCAAAACTCTCAAATCTTACCCTCTAACCTAGACCTAACACCTAAATCCCTGAACCCCCAGGCCCTAATACCCCCATAAATAGAAACCCAGCTCAATGTTGCCCTAAACCCTAAACCCTAAAACCCTAAAGCCCTAATCCCTAAACCCTGCACCCTAAAGCCCTGAGGCCCTGAAGCCCGAAAAGCCTAAAACCCTAAAGCCCTGAACCCTAAAACCCTAAATCTAAAGCCCTAAAACCCAAAACCCTAAAACCCTAAACCCTAAAAGCCCGCAGGACTCAGATGGCTCGAAGCAAGTGGCCGCTGCCTCTCCCAGCGACGACTCGGAGGAAGCAGAGGCCTCGGAGAACCCGGAGAGTCGCCCCGCAACCCTAAATCAAAGCAAAAATCCTAGGGTTTAGGGTTTTGGGGTTTTGGGGTTTTAGGGTTTTTAGGGTTTAAGGTTCAGGGTTTATGGTTTAGGGATTAGGGCTTTAGGGCTTTAGGGCTTAAGGTTTAAGGTTTAAGGTTTAGGGTTTAGGGCTTCAGGGTTTTAGGGTTTTGGTGTTTGGGAGTGACGAAAACTGAAACCAAAAAGTCCGAAACCTCTCGGTTCAGGGTTTAGGGTTTAGGGTTTTAGGGCTTTGGGTTTAGCGTTTTAGGGCTTAAGGTCTAGGGTTTTAGAGTTATTAAAACTTAAACCACACAGTCCTAAACCTCACGGTTTAGGGTTTAAGGGTTTTAGAGTTATTAAAAGCTCGAACCAAAAAGTCCTAAACCTCTCGGTCTAGGATTTAGGGATTTAGGAGTTTAGGGCTTAGGGTTTTAGGTTTTAGAGTTTAGGGTGTTAGGGTTTAAGGTTTTAGGGTTTAGGGCCCTAAACTCTAAAGTCCTAAAGCTTAGGGTTTAGGGTTTAAGGTGTAGGGTGTGCCTAAACCCTACTGAAATCTTCAACCTTTAAGCAGCCTTACACCCCCAAAGCTACCGCTTTCAGGGCTCGGGATCATGGGCTTAGTGGTTTAGGGTTTTGGGGTTTAGGGTTTAGGGGTTTAGGGTTTTTTAGGGTTCAGGGTTTTAGGGATTAGGGTTTAGGGTTTAGGGTTAAAGCTTTTGGGCTACGACAACTTCTAAACCTAAACCCTACCCCCACGCCCCAAACCCCAGATTCTGAGGGCATCCCACGGAAGAGTTCTTGAGAGCTTTTGACCCTAAACCCTAAACCCCGAAGAGTTCTTGGCAGCTTGTATTGAACCCTAAACCCTCAACCCCCTGAACCCCTAAACCCTAAACCCCGAAGAATTCTTGGGAGCTTTCACAGGACTCAGATGGCTCCAAGCAGATGACCTCCGAAGGCACCGGGAGCTCGGAGCTGGGTAGCGACGACTCGGACGAGCCCGAGGACTTTGTGGGGCAGGGCTTTACCTCACCCCTTAGAGGGGACGCTTCTGAAACCCTACTTATGGCTCTCTCTTACAAGCCTTATTGAGAGGGCCTAGGGTTTTTTAAGGGTCCCCCCTGATCTTGCCTGTTCTTTTAAAAAGATGTAGGCTCTTCAGGGTCCAGGTGGGCTTTAGGTTTCAAGGCTGTCAGAATGTGGGTGTTAGGATTTAAGGCTTAGGGCCTAGAGTTTAGAGTTCAAGGTTCAGGGCTTTCACCGATTCCTAAAAGAGGGTTTAGGGTTTAGGGGTTACTCTATTATAAGGAACCTCCAAAATAGTGTTGGTTATTATTCACGGCCAGTATATTACCTGTATCTTGGGGTTCCATCTTATGATTTCTTTAGGTAAGTCCTAACACAACATGTATACGAGGGGCCCTGTCTTTCTGAAACCTCCCCCCACCTACACCTGAAGAAGCCAGACCTCAGACCGTGCGAAGCCGCGGAAAGCCCATGTGCATATATATATATATATATGTATATATATATATATATATATATATATCTATATATTTTTATCAAAATTTTGTGTTTAGGGCTTCGGGTTTATAGGACTTATAGGGTTTATAGGGTTGATAGGGCTGATAGGGTTTATAGGGTTTAGGGTTATGAGCACTAAACCAAAAAATCCTGCAACCCCTAAACCCCTGAAGCCGCAAGCACCAAAAAGACACAATCCCTGTTTCCCAAAACTTATGTAAAACCACCAGACGCCAAATACTACAGGCTGGGTTTAGGGTTTGGGGCTCAATCCTAAGAGCCCCAGGACTCAGATGGCCACGTGCCAGCTGTCAGCACCATCAAGCCATCGACCACGAAGGTCGCGGCTTTCCCCCCGGCACCCAGAAACCCCGAATAATTTGAAGAGGGCTCCTTTAAGGCTTCCTTTGAAAGGTTACTACAGGGGTTTAATATAGAGGCCTCAATAAATCCCTAATAACAAGGATAGGGTTCTGGGATATACCATCGTAGAGTTATACACACTGAACCCTTACGAACATTACTACAAGTCTTTCATCAGTCCTAACCCCCTAGTTCCTAAATCCCTGACAACCCTAAAACCCTAAACGCTAAACCTCTAAAACCCTAAACCCCTAAACCCTAAACCCTAAACCCTAACCCTAAACCCTAAACCCCTAAAGCCCTAAACCCCTAAACCCTAAATCCTTAAAACACGGTCAAAAGTGCTAAAACCGAAATTCCCCGCACTCTGGGAGGCAGTGGTTCCACCAAACCTCGCGATCTCTGGGATTCTGGACCTTAACGACTCCGCACTGGAGGACGGTTTAGGGTGTAGGGTTTCGGGTTTAGGGTTTCGGGTTTAGGGTTTAGGGTTTAGGGGTTTAGGGTTTAGGGTTTAGGGTTCAGGGATTTGCCTGAAGCACTCGTTGCAGTGGCAGTCGTCGTCGTCGGCAGTCGAAGCAGTGGAGGTGCCACCGATGAAGAACGTCCTTGGCTGTATAGACTATACTGTTAAGCTCTTTCGCATCTCTGGATCCTAAACCCTGTGCTTATGACTGAAAAGCAAGATCTAATCCCCAACACACTGGAGCCTTAAACCCCTCTTCAAACATGCGCCTTAAGCCTGACTCCAAATGTTAAACCCTCCTCCTAACCAATGCCCGGAAGCCCTGGAGATGCTAAGCCCCAAACCCCAACCCCTAAAGCCGAGATGCAACCACAAACCCTGCAAGGATTTTGACGCCAACGCAAGCGACCTCAACGCAAGCGACACCAGCCCTGACTCGATTTAGGGATGTAATCGGAGCATCACTTGGAGTTTCACGAGTAGTTATAAGCGGAGCTATAAGTCCCCTAGTAATTATAGGTTACAACTACATCCTACTTTTTTTACCCTACTTATAACTACCCATGAACCTCCAGGCAGCTAGGTCCCAATAGTATCGCTGCGCCCCTTTATTCTGGAGTCTCCTGGTTAGCACTGAATCTTTGTAAAGGGTAACATAGGGGCCTTAATAATTAGCATGGGGTTTTGGGGCATATTATACTGTAACTATAACAAGGTACCCCCCAAAAACCCTGTTCTAATTATGAAGGCCCATCAGCCATTACTGGAGAACCTCGTCACACCATTATGATGTAGGGTTCGAGGTCAACGCCATGCGCTGTGGCGCTAAAGCACTTTTGTGTAGGTACTCTAGGGCCGAGGTACATACATATAGGCACATGGACCTTTAGGATACGGCCAACCTAGAAGCCATGATAACGCCCTTATAGTCTTATAAGTAACCCTTAGAACCCTTGCAGGAGCCTTGGTAGAGCCCTTACTGTAAGGTAAGAACCCTTGGCTCGAATCCTCTGAGCCAAGCCCTAAACCCTAAACCCTAAACCCCATAGGGTTTGGGGTTGAGCCTAAACCCTAAACCCTAAACCCTAAACCCTAAACCCCAAGGACGAGTCAGACAACTTAACGGAGGAAGACGAGAATGCGAGCAACAGCAGCAACAGCAGCCTCCCGTCCGGCCTTGGTCGGGTTAAGGGGTTTAGGGGTTCCTTTAAGGGCTCCTTTTTGGGATCTATAGGATTTGGGGTTTAGGGTTTAGGGTTCAGGGCCTTGGTAGGGTTTTCGATTTTTGGGGTTGTCGGGGCTAGGTTGGCGGGTTGAGGGGTTTAGGCGTTTAGGGGTTTACGGGTTTGGGTTTAGGGGTTTAGGGGTTTAGGGGTTTAGGATTTAGGGGTTTAGGGGTTTAGGGTTTAAGGGTTTAGGGGTTTAGGGTTTAGAGGTTTAGGGCTAAGAATTAGGGTTAAAGGGTTAGGGGTTTAGGGGTTACGGTTAAGACGTTGGTCGTTCATCATCACATCATAGCCAGCAGTCCTGCACAGTTCAAGGCGCATGAACCTGGACCTTAAAACCCTAAACCGTAAACCCAATGAACCTGGGCCCTTAAACCCTAAACCCTAAACCCTTAAATGCCTTAAATGCTCCAACTCAAACCCCGAAGGTCCTCGACACCCACCCCTCATAAACCTTAGAATCAAATCCTTGCAGAACTCCCCTTAATGCAATAACCCCATCTGAATGGAGCTCCATAAGTCCATATACCCTCATCACTGAAGGCTTAAGTCGAGGACATTTTCAGGTGGGTAGTTTCCGTTATGCGAGCCTTATAGAAGGTCTATATACCTTATAGAAGCCTTATAGAAGCCCTATATACCCTAAACTCCCCACGTGTAGTTTCCTTTAATCAAGCCGAAACCCAAATCCGAAGCCTGACGCCAGCCTGAAGCTCCGCAACCCGAATTCCTTTCGCGGGGTTTAGGGTTTCGGAAATTTCTAACTAAACCCTAAACTGCCCCTGGAGGAATTAGGGTTTAGGGTTTAAGAATCCCTAAGCCCTATTTCCTCAAGGGACAGCTTAGGGCTTAATATAAGGGCCTAAATAATTACCTATACTATTTATCGTCTAATCTACCCCCCCAAACCCTATTAAAACTTATTGTTAAGGCCCCTACTTGAAGGTTCATGGGTAGTTATAAGTAGGGTTACAAGTAGGGTAACTATAGTTACAACAGTTACAACCTATATCAGGGGACTGATAACTCCACTTCTACCCATGAACCTCCAAGTATATCCCCTTATAGACCCCTCATAGGACCCCTTATAGAACCCCCCTAAAGATCCCTTAAAGCAGCCTTACAAAAAACCCACGACAGGGTTGGAGAAGAACTCGACTTCTCGTCGCAAGGTGACCTCAATGCTCCGACTTCTGTCGACGAGGAGCCGGCCGAGGAGGTCGTTTTTCGGAACCCTAAACCCTAAACCCCTAAACCCTAAACCCCTAAACACTAAACCCTAAACCCCTAAACCCTAAACCCTAAACCCTTGTTTGAGGCTTAGAGGGTTTCGGACTAGGACTTCGGGGTTTAGGGCTTAGGATACACAGAATTTCAATTTTTTGGGGACTCTGTGATGGCTTGAGATTCGAGGGTGTAACACTGTAACTAATCATAGTGCTTAGAATTTTTGGGTTTAGGGTTTAGCATTTAGTGGTTACGATTTTATGATAGTGAAGGTTGTACTCTTGATATACCTAACTAAGAAAGGGAGAATCGCATTGCTGCAACGTCGGATTCAACCCGCGACCTGATCCTTATATGCTAAGAAATAAGTGTACCTAAACCGTACACCCTACTTGGAGGTTCATGGGTAGTCATAAGTGGAGTTATAAGTCCCCCAATATAGGTTATAACTATAGTTACCCTACTTCTAACCCTACTTATAACTGCCCATGAACCTCCACTTAACACCCTTAAGCCAAAAATCCCAAGACCCTAAACCCTAAGGCCAAAATCCCCGTAAACCCTGAATCCTTCAAGTCAGAACGCTAGGCTGCAGGCGCCGAGGCTTGATATAAGCTACCATAATCAGGATCTTTAAAAATCAGCATGGCTTCCTTATTATGGGTTTTGGGTTTAGGGTTTAGGGTTAGGGTTTAGGGTTATGGCAACTTAAGTTCCCTGAAGAAGCACCCAAAGCCTCGCACAGGCCATCGACATCGACGAGAGCTTCAGCCTTACTCTGTCCCTGAACGGCGTCCGTGCACGCTGCAAGGTGCCACGGTTTAGGGTTCAGGGCAACCCTAAACCCTAAACCCTAAACCCTAAACCCTAAACCCTAAACCGCAGTTCAGGGTTATGGAAATCTGTGTTTTGGGTCGGCGGGGGCCTGGGGGTTGGAGGTTTCCCCAATGGTCCAAAGGACCCAATAATCAGGTACTTAGGTTTCGGATAGTAGTTATGTAGGTTACTATTTGGGACACTATATGATGATTAGGTACTTGGACCCTTAGGGTTTATAGGGCCTGTGATTAATGGGTCGTGCAGGTTCTCGAAGGGGTGTTACAGCTTTACTCACGACCACGCAATGGCCCACAACCCCCGGAAAAACAGTAAAACAGCCTAAACACGGACTTAGGTACAAGTTCAGGAATATTCTTGACACCATACTCAGAAACTCAGCCGAGTTGCTACAGTTTACAGAATGTTGTTCCTTACGCCCCGACACCAATCCCGACCCACCAAGCTGCAAAACACCTGAGGCCGAAAGTGGCTGTGGACTGGTTCTGTCTGGCCAAGAGACACCCCTTCTGCCACTCGAGTTGCAAAGTTCGTGTTGGGTCTGAGCTAGAGTCGATACTCCGATCCAAAACTGCATGTCCTGGGGAATCCTCCAGGGTTTAGGGTTTAGGGTTTAGGGTTTAGGGTTTAGCCTTTAGGGTTTAGGTCCAGGGTTTCTTCCGCGAAAACTTATTCCCAGCGCCAACATTAAACACCTTTTTCTCATTCGTCCGTAAAATCCTTTAGGTCCCACCTGGGTGCCCGAGCTGGGTTCTAGTGAAGTTAATTATAAGTTGCACGTATAGGGACTATAGTAAATAGTGTGGAATACCTTGAATTTCTGTGGTAACTTAGGTCATATTCCTTAACAAGAACTCTTAGCTGCCCAAGCCCATCCCAAAAAACATCCAAAACCTCGTGGTCGGAGTGATCGAGGATACTGACCTTAGCCCCTTAGCATACTTGAGATACTTCCTTTTATGGCGCTGCTTCCGCGTTCCCTGATCCGTTTACGGAAACCGAGAAACCCAAAACCAAACGCCTGAACTCTTGACTTGGGTAGTTGTCAAAATTATGGTCCCTTTTGGGGTACCCTAAATAATAGGTGCCGTATTATGATAAGGACCCCCAAAAAGGGCCATAATTTTGACAACCACCCACTTAAAAGATTCTTCCCGAAGCCCCACAGCCGGAAGCCCGAAGCCTGAGATGCCCAGCCCTTCCAAAATCCCACGACCTAAGGAATTATACTTTAAATCATACTATTAGGGATCCTACACGGTTTAGGGTTTAGGGTTTGGGGTTTAGGATTTAGGACAAATTCCCGTACATACCAAGGATCTATTGGAAGGTCTGGGTGCAAGCCCTTAACACCAGAGCCCGAACCACCAGCACCCGGAACTCTGAACCCTAAGCTCTAAACCCTAGGATTTAGGGTTTAGGGCTTAGGTTTAGGGTCTTAAGATGCTTTAAGCCCAAAGCCCCAAAGCTTAAAACCCTAAACCCTAAACCCTAAACCCTACGAGCCGCCTTGAAGCCTTGAAACCTCCAAGACCACAAGGAGCAAGGAAGCCGTATTTCTCCCGTTACAGCCCCAGAAGACCTCTATGGAACGAAAGCAAAATCCAGGGTTTAGGGTTTAGGGTTCTGTTTTTTTCATGAAGCCGTTTCTGGTGCCCTTTACAGCGCGGTTTATCCCCTACAAAAAAATGAAAGCACCGCTAGGACTGCTGTGAGCCCCCTCAACGGCTCCTATGCCGACGGCGTTGATGTGGAGCTGACCCTGTTCAGCGCAGAGGCTGCGGGTCGTTAGGGCACTTGGAGGTTCATGGGTAGTCATAAGTAGGGTTATAAGTAGGCTAACTATAGTTATAACCTATATTAGGGGACTTATAACTCCACTTATAACTACCCATGAACCTCCAAGCATGTCTTTTGCTTTTACAGGTTTCTTTACGGTTTCAGGGTTTAGGGGTTTAGGGTTTAAGGATTCCTAAAAAGGGGGGGGGGTTCAGTACACAGGATCGGGGATCTGGGGGACTACTACCAGGGCTGTTTGGGTTAGGAATCCAGGGATGGAAGCCCCTTGCACAACCCTAAAGCTTTAAGCTCTCCCAAGTTCTGAGCCTTGAGTCTTCCAGCGTGGAAGGCCTAACTCCCAAAGGCGATAATCGCCAAAGCCCTAAACTGACCGATGTAGTAGGTCAAGTCAGCTTGGGTTAGGTTGGGTGACGAAGGTTGCCGTGTCTGGTTGCCGGGGTAGGTCAGGTTGGGCCGGGTTTGGTGAGCTTCGGTGGTAAGGCAGATCGGGGCCGGGGCAGGCCTAGGTTGGGCCGGGTTTAGGGTTTAGGGTTTAGGGTTTAGGGTTTAGGGTTCAGGGTTTAGGGTTTAGGGTTTGGGGTTTAGGGTATTGGGTTTAGGGCTGGGTCTGGTTGTGGGTTCGGCTCCGGTTAGGTCACGGTATAAGGCTTGGTTAGACTAGGCTGTCTGGCTAGGTTAAGGTTGGGGCGGGTTGGGTTAAGGGTTTGGTTGCCTCCGACGGGGTTTCCTTCATGGACGGGGTTTCCTTCGTTCTCTCTCTCCCTCTCTCTCTCTCTCTTGGGCTCTGTGTGGTCAGCTACCCTTGGATACAGGTTCGCTCGTCCACCCAAAATGTGGACCCATCCGGTGCCCACATCTGCTGCAATCGGAAATGAACAACTGAATGTGCCCAGCGTTCTGAGGTTGATGGGCTTTTGCCATCTTCTACCCAAAGCGTGTTCGCCATTCGAGCGTTAGCGTACTGGCCATCGGAATGTGGAAGCGGCTTACACATGCCGACCAATGTGATTGTCAGCATCGCATCTGCGATCATGCATCGTGCCCACCTGCCATAGAACACACTCTGTGCCCTGCTGTACAAACGGGCTCCCAACGCGAAAACGAGATGCACTATCCGTGCAGCTGCAAATGCAAATTTGCGCAAGATACCGTAGCTCCAGTGCATTCATCTCGCTTCGTCCCGCGGAGGGTATGGAAGGACGTTCCGGGGTTGTGTTAGGTTAGGTTAGGGTGTTAGGTTAGGTTAGGTCGGAGTTAGATTATACGTGGAATTGGGTGTGGTTTGGTTGCGTAGTGTTGGGGAGGTCCCCTAAACTCCCCAAGCCCAAAGCAGAACCTGACAGTAACAGCACAACGTAACGACAATAGTAGTTAACACCCACGATTTAGCCGAAAAGGTCAAGAAGTTCAAGCCATAGACGAACAAACAGCAGCCTAAACCCCTAATGCCGCAAAACCTCAAGCTTTAAAACCCTTAAACACTCCAAACCCTAAATTCTAAACTCTAAATCCAAAAAAGAACACTTGGTCGCCTTGCAGAGGAGCCAGAAGGCGTTTCAGTCCGCTTTGGCGAGCAGCTGCACCTTGGCTGTAAAATGTACTCCTCGTTCGTGTCCTTCTTAGGACTCTAGGATTTTGTGTTTTTTTTGGGTGGTTTAGGGCTAGGGGGTTTCAGATTCAGGTTTTGCAGATTCGGGGGTTCGGGGTCCAGGGTTTAGAGTTTGGGGGTTTAGCGTTTTTTTTTTGCAGGTTTCAATCGGCATTTGGAAGGGTTCGAAAAGGTACAAGAGGGGCCTTACTGATTAGAACAGGGTTCTTGGGCCAAGTCGTGTTTTCATTTTGGGCCAAAATGGTGTATTATGATAAAGGGGCTATGGGACTGTTATCACTACATTCCATTGAGTTTAAGGGTTCAGGGGTTCGGGGGCTAGATCTTGTAGACTTTCGGATCGCGGGTTGAGGAATGAGGACGCACGGTCAGGAGGATTGCGGAGGTTTACGGGGTGTAGGGCATACCTACTTGGAGGTTCACGGGTAGTTATAAGTAGGGTTATAGGTAGGCTAACTATAGTTATAACCTATATTGGGGGACTTATAACTCCACTTATAACTACCCATGAACCTCCAAGTAGGGCCCCAAGTATAGACTACTTGCCAAAACCCTGGCCCTAAATTAGAACCTGACTCGATTCTATTGTGCCCTGAAGGCATGTAACTACTAATCAAGGGCTGCCTATCAGGACCAACCCTTTCAAACCCTAAGATAGATAAGGCCTGAGTTATTAACATCTATCAGCACAATTCCCTCGGGGTTTCTGATGAAAAGCCGGGTGTAGGAGCTCTTCATCACCCCAATCTGATTATTTAGGCCCCGTACTAAAGCCCTAAAGTCACGCTGAATATGTGTATATATATATATACTATAGAACCCGTATAGTCTATATAGGCTATAGCCCTATAACCTTTAAGGGAACCATTCTTATCATCAAGGCCCTGCAGATTAGTCCATAAATCCCTCGCTGTCTGATACTCCCAGGTGTCCCGATGTGCAGATCCGGAACCTCACAGAAGGGAAGCCTGGCAAAGAGCGGTTTAGGGTTTAGCCGTTTAAGGATTCCAGAAGCTGCCGTGGATGATCTACATCCTGCATTACCCATAAAAAGGCATATACCATAAATTCTTGTAGTTTAGGGTCCTCATGGTAATGCAGGGTTTATTAATATCATCAGCAGTATGGTCTAGATATTCGCGTATGGCGATATCGCAAAGGAGTTTCTAAGGGTATTTGCTTCGAGTTGTCGAAGGGTTTTTCCTGAGGCCTTTTAAGCATTTTCGGGAAGGCCTGGTTCAGTCATTGCTCAAAACGGGTTTAGGGTTTAGAGGCGTTTACGGTTTTGGGTTTAGGGGGGGTTAGGGTTAGGGTTTGGCGGGGTTTAGGGCTTAGGGGGGTTTAGGGTTTAGGGCCTCGGGTTTAGGGCCCTTTGCAAGAATCCTCAAATTAGGGTTTAGGGCGCATGCCATCATCAAGCAAGTTTGCGGAAGGTGCCCAAATGCAAAGGCGCCCACGTCGTCCAACACCATGCTTCACCCCAAATTCATACCCTGAACATCCCTGAACTCCGGCATTCCTAAGCACCTAGTTGGGGCGGTTTATACTCTTTTGGAAGCTCCAGAGATTGCGACATCCCAACTGTTCCACAAGCCCTAAGGCTCCGTGTACCTATATAGTATATACATAGGCCTTAAAGTACGTGTATAGGAGCCCCTTTAAGGCCTGAGTATATACTGGGTACATGGAGCCTTTGGGAAGGTAGCAGGATCTTTTTAATTTTCCGGACCACCAGACAGGGCACCCCGTACTTTAGTAAAACAAGAAGCCATGTTGCATCATTGAAAGGTTTTGGGATTTCTGGACATGGCAGCCTGTTGTTCAACCCTACATCTTCTGCTACTGTTACATTTACTACCGTTACTGCTATTCAGACTTTTCATACTGTTACTGACACCATGCAAATTACTTCTAGTGTTTTCTTATGTTGATTATGATTTCTCTTCTTATCATTCTATGTCTGCCTTATTATCATCATGTATCACCATTTTTCTTATATAAGCCCTACCTATCGAAGGGGCTCTTGGTGGTCTTTGTCGCTGCCTTTGTGCACCTTCGAAGCCTCCAACGTGCAGCTTGGCACTCGCTGGCGTCGATTAAGGGCTCGTTAAGCTTGGGCTTAGGGCCAGTTTAGAGTTTATAGGGATATAGGGCTTTGGGTTGTGAAAGAGATTTCATGATAAGCTTCAGACTTTTTTCAGGGTCAAGGATTTTGGTTGGAGCTGCTGGGTTCAAGGTCCGGTTTTCTTGTGCAGCATAGCCTTGTCCTGGATTCTTCTAGGTGCCAGAAACCCTGCAGCCCAAACGTCTCAGGCCGGAGCCCTAAACAAAAACCGTAAACCAAGCGCAAGCGAGGAACCGTGACCCTTTGCATGCATAAAATCCGCTGCCCCGTTCCCTACGAAACAGAAGCAGGACAGATCATACTACGATCTACCCTTATGGCCCCTACATTTTCGTTCGGCGCATTCTTCTTCGGGCCCTTACGTTTTTAAAAGTAAATTAGGCCACTTATCCGAAACTCCACGGCCATGGACATTTCATGGAGTGACGGAGCGTCTGTCGAATTGGGGCAGAGTTTCGCGGTTTGTCAATGTTTCAGGACTTGAAGAGGCGATCACCTTACTTCGTCATTCATCTAGCCCTGATGCCAACCTTCTCCCCTACAAAACCATATGAAATCCCGAAACCCCCGAACCTCCCAGGCCAATCTACGTCCACACGGCTCTTGGCTATGCCCTCTTTGCATCGCCATTCACCGGGGCGGACTTCCACTTCACGCAGCATCTGCGCCTGCACCCTTGGCCGCAGGGGTTGTGTAAAACGACACGATGTTAGATTGTTGGATTTGGCATGGTTTGCAGGCATTGTAAACTACTTTCTACTGCAGGACAGGTGAACTCCCTGAATCTGTGTGTACACGGGAGTCAACAACAACACCAGCAATCAAAAGTCCTCTCGGAAGCTCAGAGAGCCTAAACCCTAAACCCTAAACCCTAAACCCTAAACCCTAAACCCTAAACCCTAAACCCTGAACCCTAAACCCGATCCTTTTAAGGGGGCTCTACCGGGGTCCAAAAGCAGGGGCTTGCAATACTCTCCGTCCCACAACAGAGCCCGAAATGGTTACGATAGTGCGTTGAGAGGTATGCTGTAGTATCATCCAGCATATGTGTGTATAGATCTATCTATCTGTCTTTCTATCTATATCATATATGTAGACGATAAGGCGAGTGCTGGTATATACTAATTTTTCAGGACCCTAGAGCAACCTCGGAGCAAGCAGACCTCAAGCCCCAAGCCCACATCCTCAAGCTCCAAACCTCTAAACCTGATATCCCGAATAGAGAAGAAACATGAGGGTTTAGGGTTCAGGGTGTAAGCTCTAGGGCTCTAAACCTGATAGCCCTAAGCTAGAAGACTAAATGGCTACATATGACTACCAATATCTTCCTCAGGACTCCTTATCACTAGAGACATGATCATGGTAGTAGAATACACTCCCCCAAACCCTATTCTCATTATTGAGGGTCCCTCTACAAGTACCCTAAGCCCTAATCCCCTAAATCCTAAACTCTAAACTCGAAAGCCCCACAACCCCAGTTAGATCCCGAAGTCCGAAGCCCCAACCCTCCAAAACGCAACCCCACAGCCGAGACGCGCCCTCAGGACTTACATTGTTGAGGACTTGAACAAGGACATTGTAATAAGAAGCCCCAAGAAGGTAGATTCCTTTAGGGTTCAGGCGACAAGTTTGAAAGCCTTACATCTCAAATCCCAAAGCCCTTTTGATAGCAAGGTCTTCCGTGTACCCTTTGAATGGATCCTTCTACGGCGGGACGACAATTACTATCTCCGGACGCCCAGACGCACTTTACGTAAGGATTCGTGGTTTTTTTGGAGGGTCTATCTTCGGGCGTCAGGCGGAGGCTTGCTCTTGTCAGGGCTTAGTTCCTCTAGAGTTCATGGGTTGAGGATTTCTGCATCCCACTTTAAATTCAAAACACAAGAGCTAAACGCCCGAAACCCTAAAACCTAAAACCTAAACCCTAAACCTTAAACTCCTAAACCCTAAACATTGACTCTAAAGCCTGGCCTTGAGAGATTGCCAACCAATGAAGACCGTGTTTAGGGCATGAAGCGTTTCCTACCTTCAGTCCTTCAGCTTGCTTCGAATTCACAGCTGTTCGGGGTTTTAGGGTTAAGGGGGATGGCAATACAAGCTTTTTATAGCCAGTTTACGAGGTATTGATATACCCTATAACTTATAAGACCCTTGCACAACCTTTAAGCGAGCCGTCGCCCAGCCCTAATTCGAAACCCTGAACCCCAGACTCTTGAACCTAATCCTCAACAGCTGAGTTTGTCACGCGTTGGATTGCAGATCTTGCTCAGATCGTTCAGGCGCTACGTGCAATTGGGGCTCGGAGCCCTAAGCCCTAGACCCGAACCGCGTAGGTAGGTAGGTAGGTAGGTAGGTAGGTAGGTAGGTAGGTAGGTAGGTAGGTAGGTAGGTAGGTATACCCTAAAGCCTAAACCCTAAACCCTAAATGCTATAGGTAGGTGCCCAGCCATGCCGGCTGGGAGTCGCTTGAGTGGTTTGCTGAGACTGGACCTGTATGCCCACGACTTGGAAAACGACAGCTACGGTGGAGTCCATGTGCCAAGCGGGAGCTGTTAGTTTGGTCAGAGGACTTTGCAGAGTCTGCCCCAACGGAGTCGTTCAGTCGACCAAGCTGAGGGCTGTTTTCACGACTTCAGGTGCAAACTGAAAAAGCCCGATTGAACTACACGAAAAAGATCGATGCGGATTTCTTCGACCAGGCGGACAAGTATCTGAGGATGTAGGTAGCTAGGTCGGTCGGTGGGTGGGTGGGTGGGTAAGCAGAGCCGCCTAACCCAAGGCCTTTACAACTTCAATCCGAAGCGCCCATTGCCCTGAAAGTGATTTCGTTTTCAATCAGAAAGCTTTCTGCTTAGTGCTTGGTTTAGGGTTTAGGGTCTTAACTGGGTTTTAAACGTTGTTCCAACAAAGGGTTTTCGAATTTACAGCCAGCCTTCCTGCACCCCAAAAGCATAAGCTCAACTCTAGGCTTCAAGCCTAAGAAATTCCAAACCCTAAACCTTAACTCCCAAACCCTAAACTCCAAAGGCTAGACCCTAAACTCTAAACCCACATCTTAACTCCATCCGAAACACTCCCCCTCGCCGAAACGCTCGACATTTCCAACTCGAGGTGTTGGATTCGGAGCTTCGCCGAGCATGAACCTCGTCACAGTTGGCCAGGCCGGGGTGCGCAATGGATCCTTTTTTGGGTTTAGGGTTTAGGGTTTAAGGTTTAGGGTTTTAGGGTTTAGGGGGTTTAGGGTTCAGGATGTAGGTTTTGTTTTGCGAGGAGCGGGGCGTGGGTCGGTGTATGCTTTTGAATACAACCTACACCAAAACTCTAACCTTAGATTGTGAATGTTGTTTGGGATGCGTTTGTTTGTTTCGTTTATACGACTTAGGGGCTAGGATTGTCAGGGCTCGTGGTGTAATAGCTGTGCCTTAGCAATTACTTATACTATTTTGCGGGGGTTCCTAACTACAATTTTAGGTTCATTAACCCCAAAACCCTATTCTAAAAACCCTAAATCCTAAAGCCTAAACCCTAAACCCTAATTGCTAAGGCCTCTACGGGTTCAAGGTGCAGGCTTCTCAGGGCCCCTTCACGGGCGTTTTTTCATGACAGCACCCAGGGCCCTACAACCCGCGAAGGAAGGAAATTAAGTCCTACCCAGGTTTCCGGCAATTAAGTCCTACCCAGGTTTCCTAACAGATAGCTGGATCCTAAACCCAAACCCTAACCCCTAGAACCCTAAACCCTAAACCCTAAACTTCAAACCCTAAACCCCTAAATGTGAGGATTTTGAGCTTCTGGGCAGCTGCAACAGAGGTACTGTTGATGGACAAAATCCTGCATGACCTTAAGGACCTTAAACTATGGGAATTATGGTATATTCCTTATAATGGGTAATGCAGGATTTTGTCCATCAGCACTATGTCATCCCAGTCTTGCAAACAGCTAGGCCAGCCTAAATCAAACAGCCTGAACCATCGAAATCCTGAGCCGCAAGCCCTTCGTTTTCACCCTAAACCCTAAACCCTAAACCCTAAACCCTAAACCCTAAACCCCCCTAAACTCTAAACCGCTAAACTCTAAACTCTAAGCCCTAATTAAACCCTAAGCTCTAGGTCCTAAACCCTTTGCAGGTTCCATGTCAAGTGCTATCCGCCTCCTATGATGAGATTCGGTGCCTCGTCCCGCCTGCGCCGGAGGAGTTGCAGGAGGAGGCAGCCACAGCACGAATTCGAGACGATGCCGTGAAGTTTACATCACAATCGTGCAACTCCAAACCCTGAACCCTCAGCCTAATTTTGTCGAGTCCTGTTTATCCCCTGCGGCTCTTGGGAATCAACGCTCCTCAACCGTTTAGGGTTCAGGTTTCGGGATCAGGTTTTACCCGCAGGCATTTCAGAGGGTCTTCTGTTGTGGGACTACATTAGAATGGGTGTTCAACTTGGGTATATACACTGTAATTATAATGATGCCACACTGATGCAAACACACTCTACCTCCCATTATGTACGTTGATAATACATACTTATATATATATATACATATATATATATACACACCACTACAAACATATACATATATGGAGTCTATGTATGTATACATGCATATACGTATGTAGCCATGTGAAGAAAGAACGTAAGTAAGTCAGTAAGTCAGTATGTGTATGAGCAAGTGAGTGCATGTATGTATGGATGGATGGATGGATGGATGGATGTGTTCTATCTTCTACATCTCCAGAGGCTTTAGGTTAGGAGTTTGGGGGATTTCGGTATATCGGGTTTTGGGATTTAGGAATCAGGATGTCTGGTTTGCAGAGTTCGGATCGCTGCCTCGAGTTTCGGCTTTGGGGCTTACAGGCTTTCTTCATGGCTTATGGTTTGGGTTGGAGAGCTTTCCGGTCCAGGGATTCCGAGTTTTCGGGCTTGAAGGGTTGAGCGTTTGAATTTTGAGTTTTAGGCCTTGGCGTTTGGGATTTAGGAATGTAGGGTGGGAGACCTTCGAGATGTCGCTACTGACTGTTCCAGCATCCCCATGAACCGCCTCGTCACCGTCTCAAGGGTTTTGCGTTTCGGGTTTACTATATCCTCAAGTCAAATTGCCCAGGCCTAACTTACTATATACCCCTCTGCAGCCCGATAAAGCCCTGTAGTTCGCTCTCGAAGCACCCCGTCAGCCCTGTATGCAACCCTAAACCCTAAACCCTGAACCCTAACCAAGAAGGAGAACCGGACGAAGAATATCACAGTCCGTGTGATGACGGCGAGTCAGGACAGGTTGTGCTTTAGTAAGGATCACGGGACCAAGTAAGTATGGCTATAAGAAAGTGTAACTGTAGTTATAGTTATAAGTTGGTGTATGTGCCCCAAGTATCTAATATTCTGAGAACCTTGTTACGACGGTTTATGGTGAAGGGTCTTGGATTTAGGGCTCAGGGTATAGGGGCTCTGGGGTCAGGGTCTAGGGTTGGGGTTTGGGATAGCGGGTTTGGAGCTTAGCATGTGGGGTTTAGGAAAAACCCATCGGAACAAACTCCTTGATATTTGTCTTGTTTTTCGGGCCGCAAGGGTTTTGCATTATTAGTGTGGGAAACCCATAACCCTCTTATTATGTGAGGGCTCAGTACTGGGATAGAGGAGCTTACGGCTGCGGTGTACTAACCCCAAGCAGCAGGGTTTGGGGTGCCCCAGGCAGCAGTCTGCTGGGACGAATGGCTTCTGCTTTCCACTGCCAGAAACCGAAAGGGACCTAAACCCTAAACCCTAAACCCCTAAACCCTAAACCCTAAACCCTCAACCCTAAACCCTAAACCCAGAAACCGAAAGGGAGAAACCCTGCAGAGAGTTGATTTCATCGGATCATCTTCAGGGTCCGAATGTTACGGCGCCGGAAAAGGCACCTGGGTACACTAAATCCTGAACCCTAGACACAAACGCTACCCTAAACCCTAAACCCTCAAGCCTAAATCCTAAAGCCTAAATCCTAAACCTAAATCCTAAACCTAAACCCGAATCCTAAACCTTCATAGAGCCCGTCATAGTGAGGATCTGCAGCCAGGGTTGCGTGGAGAGTACTTCTTTTTTAGCCAGGCGGGCTGGAGTCAGGGCTTTATAGGGTTCAGGGTTTAGGGTCGAGGGTTTAGGGTTCAGGGTTTAGGGTTTAGGGTCGGGGGCTAAGAGTTGAGACTGAGTCAGCAGTAATGATAGGGTTTGGGTTTAGGGGTTTAGGGTCGAGCTTGAAGAGTCAAGGGTATGCATGGTACAGGATTAGGGGGGTTTACCTGGACCCCACATAGCCTACCTTTTCAAGGACTTATATAAAGAAATCATACAAGGGAACCCCAAAAAGAAAGGCTAAGAAGGGATTGAGTAGTGGTTGCGATTTGGTAGGGCTGCAGCGGGTGTCTTCGGTCACAAGTCTGAACGGTCCGAAAAGATAAAGCCCTAAACTGGCCTAATGTAGAGGCTTTCATAATTAGAATAGGATTTGGGGGTATGTTCTACCAGAATTATAATGCGGAACTCCCAAAATAGTCTTGGTAATTATTTATGTCCCCATGTTTCACCCCCCCCAAGCCTTAAGAAGTTCTGTTGAGCTTAGTGGTATACTTGGCCATGCGAGTCCCTGCAGGTACTTGTATGTGAAGGTGTCTTAAAGGTACGAGTAATATAGAGGCCTTAAAAATTAGAATAGGGTTTGGGTTATAGTATACTAAACCCTAAACCCTAAACCCTAAACCCTAAACCCTATATAACTATAGTAAGGAACCCCAGAACCCTATTCTGATTATTAAGGCCCCTACAGTACTGGCCCAGGGATGGTGCAGACTTCCGGCATTCAGTTTGTGTTCTTTAGGGTGCGGGCTGGGTTTAGGGTTTAGGGTTTAGGGTTTAGGGTTTAGGGTTTAGGGTTTAGGGTTTAGGGTTTAGGGGGGCTGCATGAAGTCGGGATCAAGTTTCATTGACCTTTCCGAGTTTCCTGTTTGTGGAATTGTCGGGATCATCTGTAACCTAAGAACCATATACTCTCCTCAATACTCAGCTTCAAAAAACCTATTATCCTAGACCCAAGTACCGGATTTGTGTGTCCTTTGCACCCTTACATTAAGCGGCCTGCGCACATCCCGTCGGCACCATCCAACCTCTCAATTCGTTGCAGCAGGTCTACGCGATTACGGCTCTGATCCGATATCTTGAGGTCATAGAACCCTAAACCCTAAACCCTAAAACCTAAACCCTAAACCCCACAACCTCAACTGGAAAAGGAACGGTCCCATGCTATTCCTTCAGGTTCCTTATCGTACTTGTAGTATAATGGACCCTGTGCCCTATTCTAATCATGTGTGGTTCCTATATTAAACCCCAACCCGAATCCTGCAGAAAGAAGAGAAAGCCGTCATCTCAAACATAGCCCTCAACCCTAGACTAGATTGAGCCTGCAGCCACAAAGTCATGAGCCCCAGACCCTCGCAAAAAGGAGCTACACCCTCGAAGCCAAGAGGGTCGTTAGGCAGCCCTATTCTGGAAGCATACCTCGAAAGAGGCATCCCATGTGTGCTTCCTGATTCCAAAATTTACACCCTAAGCCTCAGGCGTACACCAACAGGGACCCACTGGGAAGGGAAGCCGACATACCATCGGGGCCGACATAATTACCGATACTATTTTGGGTGTTCCCTATTATAGGTATGGTATAACGGTATAATGGGCCCCCAAACCGTATTCTAATTATTCAGGCCCCTACATTAGACGCTAAATAGCCGGATCCCTACAATACGCGCCCGAACCATAGTCCGATTCAACGGACCTTCCGGGAGCTATGCGTGCACCTAACCTGTAGCCGAAAAGACCCACCTGGTTAGGGCTCCTTATCATGATTTCCTTACGTAAGTCCTTGAAAAGGTAGGTCGTCTGGGCCACAGATAAAGCATACAGACGACCCGAAGGCCTAAAACCCAGAGCCCGAAGCCAGAAGCCCGAAACCTGAGCCCGAAACCTGACGGCCTAAACTAGGCCATCGTTTCAGAACCGACATGGAGCCTCTGGGAAGGCGCCTCATCCCTAAACCCTATACCCCTGAAATTCAAGAAGCACCCTCAAAAGACCGCCTGGGAAGGGAAGCAGTCTCCCCAGCTTCGATGGGCGGGGGGCCGACCTCGTTCGGGTGGATCCGACGCTGAACTTCCCGCGGCTGAGAGCTTCCTGGGAGGGGATGCATCTTGGCCCCTGTAGGACTTAGGGTTGCAGGATTTAGGGTTTAGGGTTTAGGGTTTAGGGAAGAGAGGGAAGAGAGGGCTCTTAAAAACTAGATCCCTGGAAAGCCTCAAACCCTAAACCCTAGACCCTGAACCTTTAACCCACACACCTGGAAAGCCTGAAACCCTAAACCCTGAACCCTGAACCCTCAACCCAAACCCCTGGAAAGCCTTAAACCCTGAACCCTGAACCCTGAACCCTGAACCCTTAACCCAAACTTTTAGAAAGCCTTAAACCCCTAACCCTAGACCCCAAACCTAAATCTCTAGGGCTTTGGAGTTTTGGGTTTCTAGGGTTTGAGGGCTCAGAGTGATGTCAGGAGGTTGGTTTTCGAGATCAGGTGCGCCCAAAGAGTAGGGTTTTGGGAGTCGGGAGGTTCAGGCGTAGGGTTATTTAGGATTTAGGGTTGCAGGATTTAGGGTTTAGGCCTGTAGGATTTAGGGTTTAGGGTTGCGGGATTTAGGGTTTAGGGCCGTTTATGGCTTACCCCTGGTGGGGTTTAGGACTGATCGCTGATGAATGAAGCTCTTGTGTTTCTTCCAGGGTCTTAGTCTTGGGATCCTCGTTGTAATCCCTGCAGAGCGGAGGGGGTGAGTTAAACCCTAAACCCTAAACCCTAAACCCTAAACCCTAAACCCTAAACCCCTAAACCCTAAACCCTAAACCCTAAACCCTCATTGCAAGTTGCGGGTTTAGGGTGTAGGCTTGTGAAGATGAAGGCTTGTAGGCCTGCAGGCCTTTCTGGTTGAGAATTTCGGAAATTAGGGTTTAGGGTTTAGGGTTTAGGGTTTAGGGTGTAGGGTTTAGGGTTTAGGGTTTAGGGAGTTCAGGGTGCAGCCAGGGAGAGTCGTTGGTTCGGGCAGGTTCCAGGTACATGCTCAAAGTTTGTTAAGGAATGTTAGAACCGAATGCGACCTCAAAGGTTATGAGAATCTTACAGCCAGAATAGGTGGGGCATAAACAATGTTTTTTGATTTGATCTTCATTTCGGGCTGCCTGCACCCGTTTGTTTGCATGCTGGTTCTTGAAAACGGTCATCACTGTTCTCATCGTTCGCCCTTCGCTTTTGGGAGTTAAAAATTGGAAATCGTCATGGCTATCCTCATCGCCAACCCCTGCGTTCTCATCTCCGTTGGTTTCGGGTTTGTTTAGGTTTTAGGGATCCGAAGATCTCCGGTATTGGTTGGGTTCTCGCTTTTTTTCCATCCCGTACCAACCTCGAGGTGTGTGGCATGGGGACTTCAGTGGCTGGGGTACTTGATGGATCAGTGGACCTATAGCAAGTGGACCTCTACATAACAAGTTACCTGTAGCTAGAATCATTTGCAGCCGTATCCCGATCAATGTTCTTATATACTTGTTATATCCTCCCGCCATCTGAAGGCAAAACGATCAGCACGACAGTGCTGCAGGCAAATGTCCTGGCCCTGTTGATTCAACCGTCCACGCGGCTGAGTACACAGCGGAAGTCGCACGTCGTTCTGCTGCCCAAGGCAGCTCGCGACCAGGAGTATGGCATCACCGAGAGCAGATTCAAGCAGTTCGACAAAAAAGGCAAAACCGGTGGCAGGTTTGACCACCTGATGCGGCACCACCAAACGAAACTTGCGAGCAGTCCGTCACGGTCGTGTATGCACGGCGACGGCAAGAATGGACAAGTGGAGAAGCCTGTCAGGGGAGGGATGTTAAGTACGTGCTGCAAGGCCCACACCTTCTGAGAGAATCGGGCACCAACTGCATAATACAAATTTTATAGCACAGGAGTTATTTGACCAATGGCCTGAAAAGCCAGTAACCTTACAGCCCTACGATCCCCGAACATGAAAGCCTTGCACCCCAAATCGCCCGCCCTATGCCCTGAACGCTGAACTCCACCTGAAAAGAAAGAAGCCTTGCGCCCTTAGAAACCCAGAGAACCCAATATCCCTAAAATTAAGGAATATACCCTAAGCTATAGGGGCCTTGATATTATGATTTAAGGTATATCCCTTAATTAAGGAATATACCTTAAAACTATAGGGGCCTTGATATTATGATTTAAAGTATATTCCTTAATTAAGGCGTGTTGGGTTCTCTGGGAAGCCGAGGTCGGTGTCGGATCACTTCGCCGTTCGGTGGACCGGTTTCCTTCGAGTTCACAGGGCTGGGATGTACAGGCGGGCCGTTTAGGGTTTAGGATTTAGGATTCAGGGTTTAGGGTTTAGGGTTTAGGGTTCAGGGTTTAGGGGTTTAGGGTTTAGGGTTTAGGGGACTCCAGGGGTTTGGGGCTGCTGCTGTGATTCAGGCATGGGCAAGATCAGCTAGGTCCCCCCTGGTAGAACCGTATGGAGGTGTCTCGTCACTGAAATTGAGAACTTGAGAAGCCCTAAACCTTGGAGCCATACCCATATGGTTCAGGCAATACCCTAAACCCTAAACCCTAAACCCTAAACCCTAAACCCTAAACCCTAAACCCTAAACCGGAAACAGCGAAAGTTGCCTCAGCCATTAGCCAGGCGCATCTCCTTCACGAGAAGGAAGATGAAGACCTGAAGGCTTCCCCTAAGTGCCCAAACATCATAACGGTTTAGGGTTTAGGGTTTAGGGTTTAGGGTTTAGGGTTTAGGGTTTAGGGTTTAGGGCATAAGGTAGGGATAGTATAAGTACCCAGAGGGTCCGAGTACCCAAATAGTAAGGTTTTAGGTCCCAAAATCTGAATGGTTTTTGGACCTTGAAACCCTACTGTTTGGGTACTTGGACCCTTAGGGGTGGGTATTCTTGGGCCCCCCAGAAAAGAATGCGAAGCTCATAAAACCTTATACATGCACTCAGCAACCTTATTCCAGCTAGTCGTCATGCCCAACACTAAAAGATAGACTTTCTTACCCTAACCCCTAGACCCTAAACCCTAAACCCTAACCCCTTTTTTTGGGTTCTGAAGCCTCCATCTCCGAATGAAAAAGCCCCGGGCAGGTTCTTCATCGGTTCAGATGACGGGAGCCAGCTGTTCATCAATGGTGAGATGGTCATCAATCACGACAGGCACCAGCTAAACGGTTTAGGGGCTGAGGGTTTAGGGTTTAGGGTTTAGGGGTTTAGGGTGAAGGTCCTTCAAAATAAATGGCCTCAAGCTCTGTTCAGGGTTTCGGGGTTTCACCCGCACGGCCCAAACAGGGAGGGAGGGAGGGAGGGAGGGAGGGAGGGAGGGAGGGATGGTTGGATGGATGCTGCATGGAGGCTGCATGCATGTTGCATGAATGCTGCATGGATGCAGCACGGATGCTGCATGGATGGATAGATGGATGGATGGATGCATGGACGGATGGATGGATGGATGGGTGGGTGGGTGGGTGGACACATATGGATGAATTCTGAATAGGCACATACACATGCCGTATATCTACCGTGTATGTATGCAAGTACAGCCAGAGCTACTTTCTCATGCGGCTGTGGGTTGAACATAGGGCTAGGGAACGAATGCACTGTGGAGCGTTCAGAACGGCACAGGGAACACCCCAGTCCCCAAAGAGTATACCCCGAAACCCAAGTCCAATTCTTAAAAGGTAAAGGAACCTTATTCCAGTCAAGTACTGAGGGCCCTACCAAAACCCAAACCCTCTAGAGCCTGTTTAAGCTCAGATGAACTACCCTTGCAGACCGCTTTTAAAGGAACCCTGTTGAGGGTTTAGGGTTCAGGGTGAGGGTTTAGGGATTACTTGGAGGTTCATGGGTAGATATAAGTGGGCTCAGAAGTAGGAGAACTATAATTATAACCTATGTTAGGGGACTTATAACTCCACTTATAAATACTGATGAACCTCCAAGTAGGGTAAACCCTAAACCCTAAACCCTAAAACCTAAACCCTAAACCCTAAACCCTTAAGGCACCTCAGAGCCCTGAGAGGCTCCACGGCTTCAGTGAGCGAAGTAGCCTCGACACGATGTTCCAGGCCAGGGGTTTTGGAGCTGAATGGGCTTCATAGATATTTAGGTGCTGTTAGGGTTTAGGGTTTAGGGTTTAGGTTTTTTCGGAAAATTCTGAGAAAAGCAGATATTTAGGTGCTGTTAGGCTTTAGGGTTTAGGGTTTTTTTTGGAAATTCTGAGAAAAGCAGATATTTAGGTGCTGTTAGGGTTTAGGGTTTAGGGTTTTTTTTTCGGAAATTCTGAGAAAAGCAGGCTTGAGAGTTCAAGGTTAATTTTATGGCTCGGGGTTTAGAACTTGGGGTTTGGCTTGCAAAGGTTCCCCTTAAATTTTAAACTCTAAACCCTAAACCCTAGGCCCTAAACCCTAAACCCCTAAACCCTAAACCCTAAACCCTATATCCGTGACCCCCAGACTTCCAGTGGCCTTTGGGAGCCATGCTGCTCCAACAGTTTGCAGTGCCTCAAAGCCTGGGCTGATACAGGGGCCTTAATGGCTACCTTTACTATTTTGGGGCTCCTTATTCGAATACCCCAAAGGCCCAAAACCCTATTCTAATTCTTAAGGCCCTATATTCGTAATATACTCTTAGGGTTTTAGGACCTTAGGACATTCTCCAGGCTTCATGATCTCATAGGTTTCGGTTGTCGGGCAAGCTTTTTGCTGCAGGAGTTTAGGGTTTAGGGTGTCTGCATGCTTGGAGAGGGAGGGCTTCGGGCAAGTTCACGAGTTTAGGGTGCGAAGCTTGTACTTCTTTGCCTGGAAGGCCTAAAGTGCGAATCCTTAGAGGTTTGGTGTCGCAGAACCGTAGAAAAGCCTTTCCGGAGCTCCTGCAGAACCCTTATACAGCCCGTACCTTAAACTACCAAACCCTACTTTTTGTAGGTTCTTATTCCGAACCCTAATATGGAATTTATAGGGACCCTACAAAAGAAAAGTCGGTTTTGGTAGGTTAAGGCATACACCCTAAACCCTAAACCTCAGGGCGAGAGCGTGCATATGGTGACGGTGCTCTTCTTCGAGAAGACGGGCGACGCAGGATGTGTTCTGAGACTCTTCTGGAAAGTGGGCTTAGGGGTGTAGGGGTTTAGGGTTTAGGGGTTCGGGGGTGTAGGGTTTAGGGTTTAGGGTTTTCGGGTTCACTTCGGTTTAGTGCTATGGAGGTTCCGTATTTCGGGCCGCTGGCCCACTAGATTGGTCGTTAGTTGGGCTGCAAGGGTTCGGGTTTGGGAACGTATGGCTGTACGCTGTGCGTTCTGTGCCCACCCCCCCGCCCCACCCTAAACCCCTAAACCCTAAACCCCCAAACCCCAAACTCCTAAACCCCTAAACTCCTAAACCCAAAACCCCAAAACCCTAAACCCCTAAACCCTAAACCCCAAACCCCAAAACCCTAAAAGAACCCTAAACCCTACAATCCTCATGGTAATCCCCTATGAAATACAAGGGTCTGGAGCCCTACGCACATGCGCAAGGCCCCCAAGCCGTTCCACAAAGAGGGTTTAGGGGTTTAGGGGTGTAGGGGTGTAGGGGTTTAGGGGTTTAGGGTTTAGGAGTTTAGGGGTTTAGGGATTAGGGGTTTAGGGTTTCGGGTGTTTAGGGTTTCGGGTGTTTTGGGTCGGGTTGAGGGGTTTAGGATTTAGGGGTTTAGGGTTTACGGGTTTAGGGGTTTAGGGTTTGGGCGTTTACGGTTTAGGAGAGTGTCGGAGGAGTGTGGGTATCTCTTTAGCGGGTCCTTGTGACAAGGATCTAGACATTGCGGGACTTATCAGATTCCCTACGTCTGCTGCCAAAGTCCTCCAAACTGAAGCTCAGGGTTTAGGCTGTGTGGTCTGTACATACATGTCGAGTTTCGGAAATTTAGGGGTTTGGGGCTCAGGGGTTTTGAAGTCTGCATCCTACATTCGACATCCCAAGCCGCCCTTTGTAAGCTCTCACAGCAGCCAAGGAAGTACCAGGGTCCGGATACGGGCGGCGAGAAGATCGTGGTACCTGCTGCCGTACTGTCGCATGCGCGATACCAGGATGCCACAAAGATGACTTTTGAAGACTATACCCCGACCCCGCTAAATCCTAAGCCCTAAACCCTAAACCCTACCAACACCCCTAAACCCCCAAACCCCTATAGTGATGTTTGATTGTGGTTTTTGGTTTTAGGGCTAGGGTTCAGGGTGATCACCGTGCCTCAACCCACAAAGCTCGACCCACAGTCCTGAAGCCCAAGACGATTTTCCGGGTTCTTGTAATGGACTTGAGTTTATGTTACCACGACAAAGAAACCCTGTTATTTCCTATAGAAGTAACAAGAACGCAATTTCGGGTTTTTAGTATTCGGCCTCTTGCTTAAGATGTTCCCTTTTTCACACGGTGGCCACAGGATCATTGATATGGTAGACCGTCTCCCTTGAAGCCGCTAAGCAGGAAGCCATGGAGGTGGAAGGAAAAGGAGGTTGTGGTTCTAGGCATCATGGGCGTAGGGTATAGAGTGCCCTTAAACCCCAAACCCCGCAAGCCCCAATCCCCCAAAGCCCCAAACCCCCAAACCCCAATCCCCCAAAGCCCCAAAGGCCCAAAGCCCCAAAGCCCCAAAGCCCTAAACCCCCAAACCCCAAAGCCCCAATCCCCCAAAGCCCCAAAGCCCCAAAGGCCCCATGCCCTTCAAAGAAGTCTCCGACCCCCAAACCCCCAAAGCCCCAAACCCTTCAAAGGAGTCGCCGACCTTATCCTACACCCTAACCCTCAAACCCTAAACCCCAAACCTCCAGAAAATCCTACAGGAGTCTCCGACCCCATCCTACAAACCCACAAACCCCAAAGCCCGAACCCTTAAACCCTTATAAACCCTAAACCCTAGACCCTAAACCCTAAACCCTAAGCCCCAAAACCCCTGAACCCTAAACCCTAAACCCTAAGACTGGCAGGTATGTCCTGGTCTCCTGGTTTTGCCACCCCTGT